TGGTCTGAATGTACGCATCCCTCGAAATTCATATGTTGAAATGCAATCTCCAAAGGACTAATATTAAGAGGTGGGGCATTTGGGAGATGATTAGGGCAGGGAGGCTCTGCCCTCATGAGTGGGATTAGGGCCTTTATAAAAGAGGCCAGAGGGAGCTTGTAGTCCTTTTTGCCCTTCTATTGTGTCCTTCTACATAAAAGGCATCATCTATGAGGAATAGGCCCTCACCAGACATGAAATTTGCTGGCGCCTTGATCTTGGACTTCCTAGCCATCAGAACTGTGAGGCATACATTTCTATTGATAAATTACCAAGTCTAAGGCATTTTGTTATAGCAGCCTGAACAGACTAAGAAAGAGAGAATAGAAATAAATTATGTCATTGTTACTCCACTTCTCTCTACTGTGTCTCCAGGCACTGCACCTATGCTGTTCTCTGGAGTGTTTTCTCAGTACATAGAATGAATATTTCTCTCCTCTAATACATTGGAAATTGTGGGACAAGGGCTGTATATTTTACTTCTTTTGCACCATTGGTGCTTAAATAAATATACACTAAATAAATGAATGAATAAATGAACAAATTTACAAATGTCTTGCTTTAATTCTCCCATTCACATTTATCATGCAGACCAAACAGTGGCGACTTGTTCTCTCTGTCCAATTACTTGGTTGATCTAGACTGTAAGCTGTGACCTCAGAGACTACCACAGTCTTGTTCACTGACACTTTCTTAGAGTCAATCATGGTGGCTAGCCTATGGAAGTGCCTATAAATGCATGTGGAATTAATGACTAAAGCCACAATTTCACAGCCAAAGAATCATGTATATATGTATCTATATAATATGTGTATATGTAATTTTAAAAAGTCAAATTCAAAAGTTAACTTGACCTCATCTTGTATTAACTGAGATTACAACATTAGCAGGAATATGTCCCCATTCTGTTTAGGCCTCCAGACACTTTACTATTTGCAGGACTATACCATCCCCACCTTAACAACCCCCATCCCACTGTGACAACATGTGGATTGTCATCTATGAAGACCTATCTCCACCTTGCGTGCCTAGCAACCAGGGCATTAAAACATAAATGGTGTAAATAATGTAGTCAGGATTTCATCACAATACAACATTCCTTATAAGGACAGAGGTGTGTTTATTGCCACATGAGATAGACCTTTGCCCTGAGAAATAGTATTAATGCCCAGAGTCAATTGATTTTCTTACTTTCTACATTGCTTGTTGTAATTTCCAAGATGGCATATTTACGAACACTGAGTGTTACACTGGGAATTGTATTTTTTAATCTGTATTACGTTGCTTGGGAACATTGCCATAAATTTCAAATTTGTGCATCTAAAACATATTACAAATAAGATGTATGCTATTCACATTCAACCTTAATATATATTGCACTGTCAGTGAATTAGCCAATAGCACACTGGAAAGTTTTTTGGGGATAATTCACCCATAAGATCAAGAGTAGAAAAGGAGGCAAATCCTAGTCCAATTTAGCAGCATAGCAATGATTTTTACAGAAACCTTGACAGGGCTCTGAGGCTAAATAACTACCATTTCCATCACTGCTGAAGATGGCCTGTTTGGTACAAAATATGTGGGTACTTAGACATTATGAATTACTTATTGTTGGAGACCTTCTTAGGGGGAGAGGATAATTTCTTATGCCAAAAGGTGGAGAAGGCAGAAAGAAGTGTTCAAGTTTGAAGATGTTGCTAATAATATAGATGGTCCCTGACTTATGATGATTGAACTCATGATTTTTTAACTTCTCAGAATGGGTGAAAGCAATATGCATTCAGTAGAAACTGTACTTCGAATTTTGAATTTTGATCTTTTCCTGGGCTAGAGATACACAGTCCAACACCCTTTTTTGAGGCTGGGCTGCAGCAGCTCTGGTCAGCCACTGATCAGGAGGTAAACAACTGATACTATGCAGTGTCCTGCTGTGAGATCATTTTGCCCAACTGTAGGCTAATGTGTTCTCAGCACATTTAAGGTAGGTGAGACTAAACTATGATATTCAGCAGGTTAGGTGTAATAAATGCATTTCCACTTTCAATATTTTAAATTTATGATGGGTTTGTTGGGACATAACTCACCATCACAAGCCAAAGAGCATCTGTACACAGAAAACAAAGGGTTTCTGCTATAGACTGGGGGGAAGTAATGACCACAAAATAATTACATTTCTGTAACAAAGAAGAGTTAATGAAATGAGACTTTGTAAAACCAGTTAGAACATTGTCAGATAAGTGAGTCTTGAAAGCCAAAGCAAAGGATGATGAAATAATGAAAATATAACTGTCTGTACCAAATGTATAGAAGTCTTGTGAGTCTTAAAAACGCATTAGAGGCTGAATTCATCTGGAAGACAAGGAAGAAAGCTCAGAAGATCTTGCTATTTCTACACTAGCAGGCACAAATGCTCCCTTCGCTCCAGATTTTCAGGAGCTATGAAATTCCTGTATTCTCTCACTTCTATTTTAGTGATTTCTGACAGCATTGATAAAGTTTTTAGTTGATATAATTTATATCGTTTCAGCAGTTACTGTTGCTTGACATACATTTCTGTACTTCTAAAAGACATTCTTGTTTTCCTTCCTTCCTACCAGTCTCTTTCACTAGTTTTTCCTTTATAACTGCATACTTATAATGTGTGGATGCTCCCCGAGGTTTGTCTTCTTCCCTTTTTTTCTTGATCATACTCTTACCTTGGGCTGCCTTTTTTAGTTCCATGGCTTTGAATGACAGTGTATCCTGGTGATTTTTAAAATCACAGTTATAGTTCTGATTTCTTTCACTAATAAAGCCGTATTTCCAGCTGCCTGCTAGATAGGGCACACAAGCGTCTGCCTACTTCTTATAACTTTGGTTTTTTGTATTCTTCCTGAAGCTGATTCTTCCTTTTGCATTTTCTATTTTGCTTTTGAGCATCACCATTCCTCTAAGCCTTTTACCTATCTTAAAATAATTTCCTAAATTTCTACTCTCTCATACCCCATTTGGTTGATCCTATTAACCACGCCTGTTTGGTTAGGCCACTTCATCCCTCCAATTCCCGCTGCTGCTTTTCTAATTCATATCTCATCAGAGCCCAGTGAAACATTTAACAGGCTTTCTTGCTGCCCTCTGTTCATTCACTGATTCATTAATTCAGTAAATCTTTATTGAATGTCAATGTTGTACCAGGTATTATTCTAAGCACTTGATATGATATATTGCTGTGAGCAGAACAGACAAAAAAAATCATTAAAAAGAGCTTATGCTATAGTGGATGTGGGAAACAACTAAAAAGACAAGTGAATTCATAATATATATGTTAGAAAATGATGAGGAATGTGGAGACGATAAAGCAAGGCAGGATGGAGAAGGAGCGTCTGGGGACAAAGGTTGTTATGCTGCTTATGCTCAGTGAAAACTATTGAATAGGTAGGCTTCGATCAGAGACTGGAAAGGAAGTGAGAGAATAAACTGTGCATGTACTTGGGGCAATAACAGAGTTAGGGGCAGGCTTAGCGCACTCATGATTCAGCTGTAATTTCCAAAGCAAGCTGGCCAAGATGGCTGGAGTGAAGTGAAGGAGGCGTAAGAGGAGAGGGCTTACCTGTTTATTCTGAGCAAGATAGGACACTATTTTACTTACCAAATAATCATATAATTCCACACCTTGCTATATGTACTATATAAACTCATTTAAACCTCATAACAGACTTAAGAAATAGTTACTTGTTATCTCTATTTTACAGATGAGAAAACTGAATCATCTGTAAAGGAGGGAGGGAGCTGAGATTTGAGCCAAAGCTGTCAGGTCTGTGCTCTTAGCAACTACGCTATGCTATTACAGGGATTTAAGCATAGCTACAGGGTAATCCAACTTAACAAATCACTGGATTCTCTGTGGATGATGTATTGCAAGGCAAAGGTAGGGGAAGTTAGAATACTATTCTAATAATTAAGGTGAATAATGATGGTGGCTTGAACCAGGGTGATAGCAGTAGACATTGGAGAAAGGTTAATCTGGGATATACTTTAAAAAATAGAGCAGATTGGGTTTCTTGACAGATTCTATGTATAGAGTGTAAGAGAAAGAGAAAAATCTAAAATGATTCCAAGGTTTGTGGTTTGAGCAACTGAAAAGGTAGAATTCACATTTACTGAGATGGGAAGGTGGGGGTGCAGAAGAGAAGCATATTTGGGCCAGGGTGTGGGCCATCAATTGTAAATTTGGCTTTAGACTTGTTAAATTTGAGATGTCTAGAGAAGTTCAAATGCACATATTGACTAGGCAGTTGGATATATAATTCTGGGATTTGGGGAGAAGCCATGGTTAGAGATATAAACCTGGGAGTGTCAGTTATGGCCCTGGACGATACCACTCAGGGAGTGATTACAGATGAAGAAGTAGAAGAGGTTTAAGGATCAAGCCCTGAGGAAACTCCCAAATTTAAAGATCAGAGAGCTGAAGAAGAAGAGGTAAAGTAGGAGTGGGAAAGAACTAAGGGAGTGTGGTATCCTGGGAGTAAAGGAAGTCAGTGTCCTAAAGAGGGAAGAATCAGTTATGTCAACCCCGCTAATAGACTGAATAAGATGAGAATGTTAGGATTAGGAATGTGGAGGTCATTTGTGACCAAAAGCTATTTTGGTGGAGTGGTAGGCATGAAAATTTTATTGGAGTAGGTTCAAGAGAGAGCAAACGTAGAGGAATCTGAGAAAGCAAGTGTAGAGGACTATTTTGAGGAGTTTTGCTGTAGCAGATAAATAGTGTAGTAGCTAGAAGGAATGTTAGAATTTCTCAGAATCACAGCTTGAGATAGAGATTTACGTGAATGGGATTTATAGAGGAATGCTGTGGGATGAAGGAGTGGAGGAAGCAGGAGAGGGGAAGGGATGTTGCTAATGAGGGATGTGTTCTCAGCTGGGGTCTGCTTTAGCTCCATCCCACAGGAGTTTGAATTGTACCATGAAGTTATTCCTACCTTGAAGCCAAGGGCTGGACCTCTGCACTCCCATGCCAGCCAGTTACAAGTTGTGAGCTGTCTCCAGTTGGGAATGTGTAAATAATTGGCCCAGGCTGCTTCCATTTGGCCAAGGGCAATTCTCTGAAGACAGGAACATCTTGCGATGCCCACCAACCTGCTACAAAAAAGATAGAGGAGAGAAGCCAACAGTATTCACTATGGCAGTGAATGGAGTTTATTTTAAGTTGGGCAATATTAGGGTGTGTTTCTCTTGGATGGGAAGGGCCTAGTTGAGAAGGAACAATGAATACTTCATAATAAAGAAAATAACCAATTTCACCGTTACAATTTATCCTTTAAGTAGTAACCATAAATCCATACCAAGCAATACAAGATACTCTGAAAGTTCATAATTGTAATAAAACCTAAAATGTCAAAAATGCTAGACAGATTAAAAAAAAACTTTAAAAATACATAGCTAAACATGGACATTTCAGAGGCCAAACAAGCATGCCATTTACTAGTTCCCTTTCCTTGAACAACTTAATTTACTTTTCTGTGCCTCAGGTTTTTCATCTAATATGGAATATTAGGAATATTACTTAAGTGATAGGATGTTGGCAATATTTCTATGAGATAATATATGAAAAATACCCAAAAAGCACTCGGCTGCTTTCCTCCCTCTCCTTTTCCTCCTTTTCCTTGTCTCAGGGGCTTAACTTCCATCATGTGCCTCTTGCACTCTTTTCTTCATCATTATTGAAAGACTTGTTCCTCTGTCCATACCGCACTATTTAAAGCTTCCCTGTCTTTTTGGATGTGCTTGCTTTACTGAAATATACATGCCCCACCTTGCTCAGTTTTTCCTGTATCCTTTTTCTCTTCATTCAAAACACTACTCAGGTATCACTTTCTAATCTTTCCTTATTTACTTCCAGAGTTACTTGCTTTTTGCTCTGTACATTCCTTCATTTCTTGTATTTAATATACTTTCTGTAATGCATTCTACTCCTTCAATAGTATTGAGTGTTCCGGGTTCTAACCTAGTTGCTGTATTCCTTATAGATATACAGGTATTGTAATGAATTGTAATTACTTGCTTAGATGTCCTATCACATCATCTGTAATGTCAACTCCCAGACTTGCAGAGGCCATGCCTGTCATTGTGACCTCAATGCCTACTCAGTGTACGGGTCTGTATGTGACCTATTTGGAACCATTTGGCACCAGACACTTCGATGGGCGCTTTTACCTGTGCTTCTAAGCTATAGCTAAGCTGATGCTTACTACATATCTTAAGGTAGTACTATTCTCATTGCAGGTTTTTCTTTGAAATAGAGTATTAGGTATAACTAATCTAAATTTGTATTAATTTCCAATTCAGAAAAGAATATATTCAGTGGTAGAGTGAGGGGACTTGATTAAGCATGATTGGGAAGTTTAAATTGGTTAAAAATACAATACAATGAATAGCTACAGAGACTTACATCAATATTTCTTGTTACCAGTAATAATAAATAAAATCAGGTTGTTTTAAAGTGCAAGGTTTTTTTTTTTTCTCCTTTTCAATGATTTTGGCATGATTATTGAAGATGGCAGCTAAGAAAATTTGTTGATAGAGGGCCACTGGACTCATAAATACCTGGGTCCTACCTCTGTTTGCTTCTTGTCTCTGAATTGTTGTACAAGAATATAAGGAAAGAGGAATAAAATAAGGTAGAACATTTTTTCAACCTCTGGTGGCTTTGGCTCTAAACCTCAGGTAGAACTTGTGGTACAGCAGCTTGATAAGGCAAGGATGGATCCCATGAGGAATGCCTTCTTCCTTCACGGAGTTGGCCTTAGAGGCCTGAAACCAACATCAGTTGAGACTGCATAGGAGAAGAAGATGTTTTCACTAAAATCTACAGCAGAGCTTAGATGGTTACCTGTCCCCAAGTCTTTCTGGGAATGAGGAGAGAGTTGGCAGAAAAACAGAAAAAGTCCAGAGCCATTTTACCATGAGGAGTGAGAAAAGGAAGGGAGAGAGAGAAAAAGGGGAGAGGAGAGAGAGGTTTAGTGAGAGGAAGAGGAGTAGCAGCCAGTATTTGTTAAGAGCTTACCATGAGTTAAGCCTTGTTCTCGGTGCTTTATGTATTAATTCTTTTAATACTTGATTAAGTTTTTTTCTTTTAAATTTTCTTTTATTAAGCCTTTACTTCTGTGAGGTAAGTACTATTATTTATCTTCTTCTGCATATGAGGGAACTGAGGTACAGAATGATTAAGTGACTTGTTCAAGGTCACTCAACAAATCAATGTCATAAAAGAGCTTCCTCTTCTTGGGGTGGGGGCTGGGAAAGGGATGCACAGGAACCTTGACACTTGTTCTGAAATTGTTATCTGCTAGAGATGAATCGGAAAGGAGAATGATCTATACAATTGATGATGCATCTTTATAGAATGTAACTGGTAAGAAAATGAAGAGAAGAATACAGTTTGATTTAACACATATACTTCAAGCATTTCCTGTGTGCAAGGGACTATAGTCGGTGCTGGAAGTATAAAGAAGAATAAAACGTTGTCTCTGTCATAGGAAAGCTGGCAGGAGAGACACATGTATGAAGAGCTCATCTCTGTCTAGTAGAAGTAGATGGCATAATTGGAGCACAGGGTGGAGAAGCCTACCTGGGGGTTCAGAAAAGGTTTCCAGAAAGTAATTTTGATGGAGCTGTGTTTTAAAGGAAGAGGAAAGTCACTCAGATAAAGAAAAAGGGCAGGACATTCCAGGAAGAGGAAACAAAAGGAACAAAGTTGTTTTCTGGAATTGTGTCTGTTTGGAATGATCTACACTTGGTTTTACTAAAATCTCAAAGGCAAGGAACCAGATGATGTAGGAGGAGGCTGGAGAAAGAAATGAGGCTCATATTTTAGAGATCCTGATAGGCCGCGCTAAAGAGTTAGAGGTTAGGCATGTCCTATAGACATTAAAATGTTTGCTAGAGGCATGATCAAAATAATATGGTAGACTGGAGTGGAAATCAATGCAATAGAGACCAGGAGAGATCCATGCCTCATCTGTAGAAATTTAGGTTATAATAAAGGTGATATTTCAAATTCATGGAGGAAAGTATAACCTATGCAATTAATAGTGTTAGGAAAATTAGTTATGGATAGATAAAAAAGGGAAAGTAAACTATTATTTTATATCAGCCATAAAAATAAACTTCAGGTGAGCCAAGCAGCTGAACATAAAAGAAATTTAAAAGTATTTGGAGATTATATTGGAGCATACTTTTATAGGTTTGGAGGTGAAAAGGACCTTCTTAAACAAGACAAAAGTACCAGAAGCCATAAAAGAAATGATCAACCAAAAAACCTCATAAAAATTAAAATTCATCTCTGCACAATGAACAGCATGATAAAATTAAAAGATGAGAAAACTGTAGCATATTTAATGGGTGACTGATTATTGTGTAGGATGTATACAGAGCTTGTATAAATCACGCAAAACAGAAATATGGATAGAGGTTATAGTAGGCAATTTACAGGAGAAATACCAGAGGCCAATAAAATGATGCTCACGAAAAGATGCTCTTCAACACTAAATTAGGTAAATATGAATAAAATATAAATGCTAGAAAAATTTGATGGGAATATTAAGAAACAGCCACTTTCACACATGGTTAGTGGCAGTGTAAATTAATGTGGTGTTTTTGGAAGGCAATTTGGTGTTGGTCTATCCAAATCAATAATACACTCTTGTGGATAACTAACTACACACTGTCTGTGATTACTGTTTGGGAATCAAAGCACTTCTAGGTAAGCTGGCTTACCTACAGCTTCACATGAGTGGCATATGACTAAGCATGTCAGGATATTCCCTCCCTCTGGCCCCAGTGATTGATGGTGCCGGAGTGGACATAAGACCTAAGTTAATCAAATCAGAAAGAATCTCAGGACTTTTCCTTAGAATTCAGGGTCAAAACACTCCTTTCTTCTTGGTGGATGTAGATGGGGAAACATGTTTCCTTGGAAGACGTTGGCAGCTAAGTGGGATCAATGAAGTGAACTATCCTTGGGAGGAAGTGAATATTAGGGAAGGCAGAAGAAAAAGATGGGAAGAAATGGAGGTCCATTGGGCCAGTGCTTTTCTAAAGCAATTCCTCCCCAGAGTTTTGATCAAATGAGTCTAATATTTTCCCCTTTGCTTATACTGATCTGCCTTGAGTCTTCTATCACTTGCAGCCCAATTGACACATGCATATGTGCTTTAACTGAGTAATGTAATTTCTATGAATTTACTGTTAGGAAATACTTGGACGTGTGCACTAGGATGTTTATTGCAGCAGCATTTATAATACATGAAAAATTAGAAACAACCTAAAATATTAACTGAAGAGTCATTAAATAAATTATCATAGATGCATATATGAAACATATAGCCATTAAACAGAATGAAGTAGACCTTCATTTACTTTTAATATACACATATTATAAGTGTATCCAGATACACATATATGCATATATAATAAACAAACAGGAGGCTGAATGGCTGCTCACCAAATAGTGATATTGACTATCTCGAGGGAGAGGAATGAGAATTGGGGAGATGTGAAGGGGAGACTTTCATTGCTTACTCTGTTTATGTGATATTATATTTATAATTACTCAGCAACATTATATTATTAAAAAAGGGAACACTATGCTGCATTTAAAAGATGTTATGTCTTTATTCTGTTGCTAGTGATTCTAAAACTTTAGTCAGCATAATGAATGTCTGTGGCATTTTTAAGAATGAAGTTTTCTGGGCCCTCCTCTCTGAATCTGAAGTGTTAGAGCATAACCTGAGCATTATGGCTTGACGTTTTCAAAGCCCACCTTAGAGGTTATGCTGCATAGAGTATGGATTTAAGTGGGACAGAACCAAGTTGAGAGATAAATTAGGAGGCCATTGTAATAGTTTAGGAGAAATATGGCAGCTTGGACAAAGGTTGTATTAATGGGATAGTGAGATAATCCAGCTAAAGAACTTAAACATTCTCTGGCACATGGTAGGCAGCCTCCATCATCAGCAGCAACATTACTACTTCTGTTGCTACCACTATGAAGGATTCTAAAAACATTTGAAAATAAAAATCAGCACGTAAGAACATAAGAGACTTCAATAAGATATTAAGTGGGCCAAATTAATATATACATATAATATCAACATTAACTTTCTCGTGTTTTATATCTGTATGTACATTTGCGGGAAATTCTATAACATGAAAATAGAGAACAAATTTTCTTTTCCTTTCTTTCCTTTCTTTCTTTCCTTCCTTCCTTCCTTCCTTCCTTCCTTCCTTCCTTCCTTCCTTTCTTTTTCTTCCTTCCTTCCTTCCTTCCTTCCTTCCTTCCTTCCTTCCTTCCTTCCTTCCTTCCTTTCTTTTTCTTTCTTT